CTTCGAAGAATAGCAAAGATAGGCAGAGATGCACCCCACAGTTTATTCAGAACCTCAACAGAGCTGCAAGCAATCTGCCTAAAGACATCACTCCCAACAAGAAGAAAGAGTGGGAGGCCCCAGAAGGCCACCCTATGCACTGATGCTCTTCTGAAGAGAGAAAGTTTGTTAAACCTTACAATTACTGCTCAGGAATTATAGAACAAGCATCCTGATGTACGAGAAGAAACAGGTCTGCACACATTGCAACACTGTCTACAAAAGGATGTTTGGACTCCTGTTATTTATACTTCTTAATATGAAGCGAAGAAGTCTATAAGCTTTATTAAGAATTCTATTAGCTTTATTCCAAGAATTCTATTAGCTTTATTTCAAAAGTTCTATTAATTTATTTCAAGAATTCTATTAGCTTCATTCTAAGAATTCTACAGGTCCTCCATCATAAATCCGGCATCACTGGGACCTGTAGTGTGCAGGATTACAGAATGGTTAGGTTAGAATAACCAACTTGACTTACACATAGTTCATTGAACATCGGCAAAAATCGAACATTTCCGCTATTTTGAGCTCAATTTCAAGGCACTTTTCGTCATGAAAGCAATCAAAATCATGTCTATTTCTGTAATATGTCTTCCATTCTATCAAATGAGTCAAAAAAATGAGAATACAACCATAAAAACCATACAAAAATATACTGCAAAGAGGTGGCTAATGGTTGTGAGGTGAACTCCCTGATTTATCGTCTGTCTTTTTTTTATTTTTGTTGTACGTTAAGAAGAATCTTTCCATTATACATTACCCAAGTTTCAATGAGATAGCCCAACAAACAACCGAGAAAAAAAAATATTTACAAAAAATCATATATTGCAAACCCAAGCCAGGTACTGGGAATAAGTCACTTTGTCTGACTTTTTTGGGTTATCCTAGGTTCTCTATACATACACTGCTATGTATGATAATCTATGTAATTGTATTTGTGTATACCTGAATAAACTTATTTACTTCTAGTCTGTCAATTGAGTACAAGAAACCTCCTATTCACTTATTTCAACTACCCAATAAAGTGGTCAGAAATTGGCAATTTGGCTGATTTCACACAAATTTCAACAGATGCCAATTTGAAAATAGGGTCCAGAATAAACAATGCAGACATTCCTGGCACTAAAATAACATTTTCTCTGTTCATTAGTCACGGCTACAGGCCCTCTTATACAGTGGACCCCTGGTTTACAATATTATTTCATTCCAGAAGTATGTTCAGGTGCCAGTACTGACCGAATTTGTTCCCATAAGGAATATTGTGAATTAGATTAGTCCATTTCAGACCCCCAAACATACACATACAAACGCACTTACATAAATACACTTACATAACTGGTTGCATTGGGAGCTGTTCGTAAACCGGGGGTCCACTGTATTACTCTTGCTTACATTTGGAATTTTTATTCACAAAAAAATAGAAGATTTACTGTTATGCAGACTGCCGCATTATCATAATAATTGTATAAATAATGTCAACCCATTCTTGACTTCTTACTGGAATTTGGAATTGCAGGCGGACAGGTATTGGACGGTGACGTCATTTGTTTACTCTTGAGCTTTGCTAAAGAATAGAACATTTTCGCTACTGTGAGCGCAATTTCAAGGTACTTTTCATTATGAAAGCAATCAAAATCATATCTATTTCTGTAATATATCTTTCATTCTATCAAATGAGACCAAAAAAATGAGACTATAACCATAAAAACCATACAAAAATATACCGCTAAGCGGCTGCTAATGGCTGAGAAGTGAACTCCGCTATTTATGGTCTGATTTCTTTCATTTTTGGTGTACGTTAAGAAGTATCTTTCCATCATACATTGCCCAAGTTTGAATAAGATAACCCAACAAACAACTGAGAAAATAATAATAATAATAATAATAATAATAATATCTTTATTTACTACACGTACATGTACAAGGTATACAGGCCTAGCTGACATCAGTGACATACTACTATATAGAAAGCCACTTGTTATGCACAGTATTTCAAGAAAATTAGGTCAGTGTCCCAGGATAACACCCACACTAGACGACTAACACCCAGGTACCCATTTACTGATGAGTAAACATAGACAACAGTTGTAAAGAAACACGCCCAATGTTTCTACCCTGGCTGGGAATTGAATATTTACCAAAAATCATATATGGTTAACACAAGCCAGGTACTAGAAATAAGCCACATTGACTTTTAAGGGTTATCCTAGGTTCTCTACACATATGCTGCTATGTGTGATAATCTATATAGAGAAAATAACTTTTTTGTTTCAGGTTTATGGTGCAGTACGAGTGTATATCACAGTTAGCCCTGTGCTATACTCCGTTTTCTCTAATACAGTGGACCCCCGCATACCGTTGGCCTTACATAACGTTAATTCCGCATACCGCTACATTTTATCACTAAGATTTTGCCTCGCATACCGCTAAAAAACCCGCTCAACGCTGTTCGTCTGAGACGCGTCTATGTGCGGCCTGAGCCACGCTCACATGTTCCGCCGGTGGCATTGTTTACCAGGCAGCCTCCGCGGTAACATCCAAGCATACAATCGGAACATTTCGTATTATTACAGTGTTTTTGGTGATTTTATCTGCAAAATAAGTGACCATGGGCCCCAAGAAAGCTTCTAGTGCCAACCCTACAGCAATAAGGGTGAGAATTACTATAGAGATGAAGAAAAAGATCATTGATAAGTATGAAAGTGGAGTGCGTGTCTCCGAGCTGGCCAGGTTGTATAATAAACCCCAATCAACCATCGCTACTATTGGTGGTACAGCTGCTGCTGCTGCTGTACCACCATCAGCTGCTGCTGCTGCTGCACTGTCAGCTGCTGCTGCTGCTGTAGGACCGTCAGCTGCTGCTGCTGCTGTAGTACCGTCTGCTGCTGCTGTAGCATCGTCTGCTGCTGCTGTAGCACTGTCAGCTGCTGCTGCTGCTGTAGCACCGTTGTTGGTGTGGCTTATTGAGAATACCAAGAAACAATTAACCCCAGAGGATTTGCCACCCAGGATAACCCAAAAAAGTCAGTGTCATCAAAGACTGTCTAACTTATTTCCATTGGGGTCCTTAAACTTGTCTCCCAGGATGCAACCCACACCAGTCGACTAACACCCAGGTGAACAGGGAAAAATGCCTGGAACTAGTGCTCATATTGGTGAATTTAAAGCCAGCAAAGGTTGGTTTGAGAGATTTAAGAATCATAGTGGCATACACAGTGTGATAAGGCCTGTTCTGGAAGAAAATGCCAAACAGGACCTACAGTACTCAGGAGGAAAAGGCACTCCCAGGACACACTGTCTCATCAGTCATTGCTGCATCTTCAATAAAGGTAAGTGTCATTTATTCTTCATTTAGTAGAGTAGTACATGCACAATATATATTGTGCATGTACTACTCTACTATTGTGCATGTATCCTTCTCTTTGTGTGTAGGAAAATGTATATTTCATATGGTAAAATTCTTTTTTCATACTTTTGGGTGTCTTGCACGGATTAATTTGATTTCCATTATTTCTTATGGGGAAAATTCATTCGCATAATGATAATTTCGCATAACAATGAGCTCTCTTGCACGGATTAATATCGCTATGCAGGGGTCCACTGTATAAGCCCCCAAGACAGGGATAGGAGAATAGTATTTATATACCATATCCTCTTCATACCTCCGTCGACTGCTCGGTGTTATGCGAAATATTATTTTTTCTGGAGTATTTAACATGTTTTATGTTATTTATGTTGTTTATTATGTCATATTAGATCAATTGTGATAGGCAAATAAGCTGTAGTGTTGATATTAGCGTAATAATAAAGCATATTCTCCTGCATCATGAGACTAAGCTCATGGCAACCGACAGTGGCTTCAAAGCCACCTTATCTTTAATGGATAATGTACTGTGTTGGTGCTTTACATAATGAGAAGCATTTCTTTTATTCATTGGAACCATGGCTAGGGCTAAAAGCAAGCAGGTTAAAACAATAAATGGAGAAAAAGAAATTAGGATGACTTATGCAGCAAGTAGCGCCACCAAACAGTACCAGCAGAGTGGTGTGGCGACCCTGGAAATTTTAAATTATGCTAGCCAAAATTAGTGCCGAATAACTGAAGGAACCGAATAACTGATTGCCGGATTTGTGATGGTGGACATGTATTAGCTTTATTAAACCAAGAATTCTACTAGCTTTATTCCAAGAATTTTATTTAGCTTTATTACAAGAATTGTATTAGCTTTATTACAAGAATTCTATTAGCTTTATTAAAATTCTATTAGTTTTATAAGGTAACCTGAATAACACTATATTCATTTATACTATCACTCATAACTAGAGTGTTGTGGGTTATTACAATTTCATGTCCTAGTTTCATTATTTTATTATGTTAGACCCAAGGCCCCTAGAACTGTATAGCTTTTGCTCTGCCCATTAACCGTTAGATGACATCAGCCTGTTGGGGCTTTTATACTATAGTTTAATGACTCACAAAATCATAATAACATGACTCCAAACAAACCACAGAACAGGTGGGGTTTGAACCCACACAAATGAGTTTTACGATTCACACACCATGGTTTCAAACCCCATCTGTTCTGTGGTTTATATAATTTAATGTTAAAAGTTTAACCATTACCTCGTCTATCTTGTACATAAAACATAAAATATTATACTGAATACATTTTTATACCATGTGGTTTAGTTACTTTCCTTAAGCCTAGAGCCAGCATCAGTTGGTATCCTTTGTATTTACCTAACAGCACTGACAGGTTAACCAAAGCTACTCATCTAATTTAACTTTGAGTATCTTATTGTACATATAATACCAGTAAGAGAGTTTTTTCTTTTAGAAAGTTGGCACTATTTCTTATTCAAAAGCATCAATTTATAACAGTACAGTAGGATACCCACTATATTCATCCAGTTCTACTGTGTTTCATTCCCCTATTTTGTTTAAACAAAATTTTACTAACCTTGGCAGACATCCCACCTGAACTCTCTTCCTTGTGCTTCATAAATATATTAGCAAGATCTTTTTCTGTCAAATCAAGTAAGCCAGCCTGAAAAAAAAAAATATTTTTGAGCTGTTCATGTTAAACAAATATTATTCAGCAGTTTAAGGATATTACTGGCTTATATACAGTGGAACTTTTACTTACGAGTTTAATCCGTTCCGTGACCTTGCTTACATCTGGATTTGCTCGTTTGTAGAGTAAATTTTCCTCATTTAAATTAATTGAAATGGAATTAATTTGTTCCAGTGGAATTCCAGGCACGACAAAATACTTCAATATTTCCCTAATATCAACTCTATGGCATAATAAACAATATTAATAACATAGAAACATGATATATACCTAGAATGAATGAAATATGTCATTACATATGTGAGTAGTGGTAGCGGAGGCGGTAGCCACTGTTGTTGGGGTGTTTAGGGCCACCACAGCAGCCATTCCTGCTGACTACATACCTTCCCATGCTTTTATTAAAACAGAAAATGGAGTGTTTGTAAGGCAAACTGTATTAGATTACGTAGTTTCATGAGGAAAATAATAATAATACTAATACTAATTTACCTTGGAGAAGAAATGCTGGTGGTTGATGGTGGAGAAAAGATGCTGGCGAAGGTTGATGAGAGAGACGAGATGCTGGGCACATCTGCATATGCTGTCAGGAGTTCATTTCGTTTCATCCTTTTTCTATTGCTTAACTGCTACATTCTTAATGCTACACTCTGAATGCTACACTTTTAACACTTTCACTCTTTTGGTCGTATACATATGCCATGCGAGCCAATGTGTTTGACGTATTAATACACCAAAATTCAAGTGGCTTCAAATCAAGCAGGAGAAAAGTTGGTAGGCCCACATGTGAGAGAATGGGTCTCCATGGTCAGTGTTCGCCATATAAAAAAAATCGAGGGAGACAGTGGTGCACTGTGGGAATGCCATTTCAGTAGTCCTTGTTCAGCATGCCTAGTGGTAAGAAATATATCTTGGACCCTTCTCTTTCCAAGTGATTGCTCTAACACAGATGGAAGTGTCAATGAAGATCAATTTCATGGTTTTGAGGGGTTTGTGACCAAAAGCAATGCCCAGGATACCAGAAGAAAGAATGAAAGACAGAGAAAGGAGAATGAAGGAGAATGAAAGAGAATGAAGGAGAATGAAGGAGAATGAAGGAGAATGAAGAAGAATGAAAGAGAATGAAAGAAATAGAAAGAAGAATAAAAATAAAGGAGAATGAAAGAGAATAAAAGAGGAGCCAGTCTATCAGCATCCTGTTGGCCAACATTAGAGGTTTCATTACTAATGTTGGAGAGCTCACACATAGTTTTGTGAACACTCGACATCCTGACATGATAGCTGTTGTTGAAACATTTTTGGATGACAGGACTCCAGAAAATTTTGTAAGAATTGTTGGCTACACCTCATGGATGAGAAGAGACAGGCAAGGGCAAGGAGGAGGTGTTGCTGTGTGCTTCTCTAAAAGTGTTCATGCCCAGCACATTGATGTTGCCACCCCTGCACATCTTGAAATGATGTTCTTCAAGCTCTGCATAAACACTAGTACCTCTCTACTAGCATGTGCAATGTACAGACCTCAGTGGCAATATGCAGACCCCATCAACTTCCTAATGGAAAATACTGACTCCCTTCTGCTACAACACAACTGTCAACATATCATAATTGTTGGTGACCTCAACCAGCACCTTATACAGAGGGACTTTGATGACCTTCTTGCAGTGTTTGACATGAGAAACTTTGTTGATTTCCCTACTCACATCTCTGGCTCTTCCCTTGACCCAGTAGTGAGTAATCTGGCAGAAGGCACAGTCACTTGTCAACCTCTCGGCTACATTGGATCGTCTGACCACAAGGCTGTTTTTACGACACTTAAGATCCCAACAGAACGAGGTGAGGAGTCCAAAACGCACAAACCTGGCTATGGGAAGAGGTAATTGCCAGCCCTTTAATCTGAGCTCGCCACCACCGATTGGAATGCTCTTCTCCAAGGGGATGTTGACAACCAAGTGAAAGCCTTCACTGGACACATCCTTAATCTACAACAAGAACACATTCCTCACCGGCAATATGTGACGAAGCCTACAGATCAGCCTTGGTTTGGCTTTCATTGTAGAGAGGCTCCTACTGCTAAGTACAAAGCATGGCGAAGGTATAAGAGACATCCTACCACCTATAACAGGAACTTGCACAGGCAAGCCTGAGAGACATATGGGTGACGTTCAAAAGTGGGCCATTGCTAAATGGAAGGTGGACACTAAAAGAAAGCTAGCTCAGGTAGGGTAGGCTCCAAAACCTGTGGTCCTGGTCAAGGACAGACAAGGTTATCTGCCTGATGAACTCATTCCACCTCTAAATCGACAGGATGGGACCACCTCTACTAGTAGTCAAGAGAAGGCGGACCTCTTTGCTGAACACTTTGCTACCAAAATGCAAGTTCCTGATCCAGCAAGGGACCCTCCTTGGCTAGCTGCAAGAACTGTGTCACAACTGTCAGACTCATGGAACTCTGTGTTCATCAAGAACTGCAAGAAGCCCCTATCACGAGCCTTTTCCATCCTATGGAGAGGGAGCATGGACATGGGGGTCGTCCCTCAGTTACTAAAAACAACAGACATAGCCCCACTCCACAAAGGGGGCAGTAAAGCAACAGCAAAGAACTACAGACCAATAGCACTAACATCCCATATCATAAAAATCTTTGAAAGGGTCCTAAGAAGCAAGATCACCACCCATCTAGAAACCCATCAGTTACACAACCCAGGGCAACATGGGTTTAGAACAGGTCGCTCCTGTCTGTCTCAACTACTGGATCACTACGACAAGGTCCTAAATGCACTAGAAGACAAAAAGAATGCAGATGTAATATATACAGACTTTGCAAAAGCCTTCGACAAGTGTGACCATGGCATAATAGCGCACAAAATGCGCGCTAAAGGAATAACAGGAAAAGTCGGTCGATGGATCTATAATTTCCTCACTAACAGAACACAGAGAGTAGTCGTCAACAGAGTAAAGTCCGAGGCAGCTACGGTGAAAAGCTCTGTTCCACAAGGCACAGTACTAGCTCCCATCTTGTTCCTCATCCTCATATCCGACATAGACAAGGATGTCAGCCACAGCACCGTGTCTTCCTTTGCAGATGACACCCGAATCTGCATGACAGTGTCTTCCATTGCAGACACTGCAAGGCTCCAGGCAGACATCAACCAAATCTTTCAGTGGGCTGCAGAAAACAATATGAAGTTCAACGATGAGAAATTTCAATTACTCAGATGTGGTGGACATGGGGAAGTTAGGTCTTCATCGGAGTGCAAAGCAAATTCTGGCCACGGAATGGAGCGAAACGCCAACGTCAGGGACCTGGGAGTGATTATGTCGGAGGATCTCACCTTCAAGGACCATAGCATTGTATCAATTGCATCTGCTGGAAGAGTGACAGGATGGATAGTGAGAACCTTCAGAACTGGGGAGGCCGGGCCCATGATGACACTCTTCAGGTCACTTGTTCTGTCTAGGCTGGAATATTGCTGCACTCTAACAGCACCTTTCAAGGCAGGTGAAATTGCCGACCTAGAAAATGTACAGAGAACTTTCACGGCGCACATAGCGGAGATAAAACACCTCAATTACTGGGAGCGCTTGAGGTTCCTAAACCTGTATTCCCTGGAACGCAGGCGGGAGAGATACATGATTATATACACCTGGAAAATCCTAGAGGGACTAGTACCGAACTTGCACACGAAAATCACTCACTGCGAAACCAAAGGACTTAGCAGACGATGCACCATCCCCCCAATGAAAAGCAGGGGTGTCGCTAGCACGTTGAGAGACCATACAGGGGCCCGAGACTGTTCAACTGCCTCACAGCACACATAAGGGGGATTACCAACAGACCCCTGGCAGTCTTCAAGCTGGCACTGGACAAGCACCTAAAGTCAGTTCCTGATCAGCCGGGCTGTGGCTCGTACGTTGGTTTGCGTGCAGCCAGCAGCAACAGCCTGGTTGATCAGGCGCTGATCCACCAGGAGGCCTGGTCACAGACCGGGCCGCGGGGGCGTTGACCCCCGAAACTCTCTCCAGGTAAACTCCAGGTGACAATAAGGCAGGAGTAGGTGCATTTCCTTCTTAAATCGCTTGACCAAGAAAAGGCTGTGGGCCCAGACAAGTTGAGCCCAAGATTGCTGAGAAGATGTGCAGACCAGCTAGCAGCACCTCTAACTCGCATTTTTTCAGCACTGCCTAGTACAGTGTAAATGGCCCTCTCTATGGAAAGAGGCAAATGTAGTCCCTGTTCACAAAAAGAAGAGCAGAGCAGAAATCAGCAACTACAGACCAGTGTCACTCCTGTCAATCACTGGTAAGATCCTTGAGACAATAATCTCAAGACAAATGACAGAGTTTTTGACTATCACTAACTACTTTGTGATCGTCAATATGGCTTCAGGAAAGGTTACTCTGCTGCTGATCTGTTGTTAAACCTCTCCACTAAGAGGCACCAGTCACGGGATGAATCCAAATCAGCTGTGTGGTAGCACTGGACATTGCTGGCGCTTTTGACCGGGTGTGGCACAAGGGCCTCTTAGCAAAACTTCAAGCACTGGGAATTGCAGGCTCTACGCTATGTCTCCTCAGTGTTTTACCTTCATGGTAGATCTCTAAGTGTAGTTCTCAATGGAACAGAATCAGCAAGACATCCTATTGGGGCAAGTGTTCCACAAGGAAGCATGCTGGGACCATTGTTATGGAATGTCTACTTCAACGACCTTCTTCATCTCATCCCAGAATCACATGCATATGCAGATGACTGTACACTGACATTCACTTATCCAAGAGAAGAAATGCCGGCTGCTCTAAGCTACATCAATCACCAGCTGAGAGCTATATCAGCTTGGGGAAATAGATGGCAAGTAACATTTGCACCTGAGAAAACGCAAATGATGACCGTCTCTAGGCACCATGATGGTAATGCTGGTGCAGTAGTAAGGATGAATGGGAGGGTGTTGGCACCTGGAGAAGAAGTTGATATCCTTGGG